ATATATTTTCAATAAAATTTCTAATTCAGATTTTTCCCCCCTCAATTGATCAATCCCCTCATGCCTTATAATGACACGACTCTCCACCTTTACTGCTTTTGTATGCAGAGAAAATGCAAACTAGCCTGTTCTGGCCCCTCTACTAGCAGCCTGTCCCCACTCACACTTTGCATAAGCACAGAGGCTTCAACCCATCTCACTCACTAGTTCCCCTGCAGCAAAGAAGAACACACAGCGCTGATACCTCTGAGTAATAGTGAATTATATAATGAGCAAAAGTGAGTTTTAGTGAAACCACCAACATTGCATAAAACATGATTGATAGCAATGTTTCAGAAAGGACTGCGAGCATTACAAAATGTGTTGAAGACTTTTATTATATTTTGTGTCAATTATTACATAATGCAGTTTTAGTGCAGTTTTATTACATTTTGAAGCCCGATTTTATTACATTATTACATAATGCGGTGTTACAAGGATCAGAGTGATAATTATACAATAAATAATTAAAAATTAGAATTTTTAAAAAATTACAAAATGAACATAGCAAACATCATGTGCAAGTCAGTGTTATGTAAAACATCATGCCACCATTTCCACCTGTTTTCAGAGCACAAGCAACATTTACTTCCTAATAGCTTTTGCATAAAAACAGACTTTTGCTACTTTTTGTTGATTTTTTTTTTTTTTTGAGGTGATAGGAAATGTAAAGATCCTCCATGGAGAAAAGAGGCCATCCGATGAGATTTCAGGCGGTGGTGATGACCCTCTAGAGTGCTTTCTTCTCTGCTGCTGTGCAGCTGGCAAACCCCACACAGATGCATTTGCAAATCAGGAGGTCCCAGAACACAGACATGGCTCTGTCCAGTAGATCAAGGGAAAGAAAAGCCTTTTGAACACATTGAAACATCCACTGTTCTATCACCACACACACTGTATATAAGGTTATTAGTTAAAATCACATAAAAAAGTTCAAACAAGTATCTTTAGATTTTTGTATTTGGGCAACTGTGAAATATTACTACAATAACCCTTTCTGTTGTTGTAATTACACAAACATATACTGTTGCGTTACAGAGGTTGTGTTTATTTTCCAAGTATTTTTATAATGCTAGATTTTGTCAAAAAAAGCGTTTGTTGCACTAACATTAAGTGAAGCTACTAGTTTTCTCTACATTTCTTTTGATTCTCATCTCCTCTGAGATTTATGGTTGTGTTCTAAAGCTCTGATTAAAAAAAACATGTGTTTTCAAAAATGGTAAATAACAAAAGAATCATAAAGACAACATTTCCATGTGAATGAAACCTTAATTTTTCCACATTTTTATTGAAACTTCAATGTAAATTTCATTCCAGCTTTTGATTCTGTTCCCATTTTACTACTGCTAATCAAACCCTAACCCTTAACAAACAAGATACACAAACATCTGCACACTTATCTCAACAGATCATTTAGAATCTTTTAATCTGACATCAATAATATTTGACTGTAAAGAAGAACAGTAACGTGGGCACAAAGAGATGTTCACATTTGACATTTATTCAAAGTTATTACACAAAATACTTACGCTAAAAACCATAGGTGTCCCAATATCAGTTTTTCTCTAAATCATTATGAGTACTCCAGTTTGGGTTCTCACTGATACTGAGTACTTACTGAGTTAGAACGTAAACACTACACAATCACTATAAAAGCACATTCCTTTTATTTTGGAACACTAGATACATATGATGTTTGTCAAAGTGACCTCCGTTTAAATGTTCATGTCTTGTTTCATCCGACTCTTACATCAGTGAGGTGTGGGTGAGCAGACTGATCCAAATGATAATAACGACTCTAATCTCAAGTCGTGTAGTTTAAATCTTGTAGCTCTACCTGACTTCAACTACAGAACAGAAGTCCAGTTTTTTTTATTTTATTTTATTTTATTTTTTGTTTTCCTTCTTTTATTTTCCATGTCCTGGAAGACTTAGCCTGGCCCTTGCCTTCCCATACAGTTTTAGTCAATTCTAGTTTCCCTTCTCTGCTCCGTCTTGGCTTTCTCCCAGAGACAAAGATTTCTCCGGCAGAGTTTCAACTGGGCCAATCAGCAAACAGGAAGAGGAGTTGTGAATGATAATGTTGATTTTTTTTTGTGCTGTTTAGCCTGCCTGTTGTTTAGCAATGGCAGCGGGGAAAGAGAATGAAGCCCGTCCATGTTGACAAGGCTTCCAAATTAGTAAGTAAGTCAGTAAGTAAACTTTATTTCTATAGCACCTTTCACAGACACAAACATCACAAAGTGCTTCACAGAAAGCAAAAAAAATAATAATTAAAAACAATAAAACAGATCACAGATATAAAAACAACAAATAAAACACAATAAAAAGCACTTAACTAAAAGCCTGTCTGAATAAAAATGTCTTAAGATGTTTCTTAAAAGAGTCAGCAGAATCTGAGCAGTGAAGGGACAGAGGGAGAGCGTTCCAGAGCCTCGGGGCCACCACCTGAAAAGCTTTGTCTCCACGGGTTTTATAATGGGTTCCAGGGACCACCAGCAGCATTTGATTAGAAGACCTTAAAGTCCTGGTTGGACAGAGAGGCTTCAGAAGGTCCAGGATGTATTTGGGAGCCTGACCATGAAGTGCTCTGAAAGTTAAAACTAAAAGTTTAAAATGACTCCTCAAAGTCACAGGGAGCCAGTGCAGAGAGGCTAAAACAGGTGTAATGTGGGCTCTCCTGTGGGTCTTTGTTGATAACCTCGCTGCAGCGTTCTGCACAGACTGAAGCCGAGTCAAGGAGGATTTGTTTAGACATGTAAAAAGACTGTTGCAGTAATCTAAACGAGAAGAAATAAAAGCGTGAACAACCATCTCTAGTTCCTTCTGTGACACAAAAGATCTCAGCTTTGAAATGTTCCTTAAATGATAAAAACAGTTACGAACTAAAATTTTACAATGGCTGTCAAAAGACATAGAACTATCAAAGACAACACCCAGATTTCTGAGACTATTTTTCACTGAAGGAGTTAAAAAAGCAAGGTGCTGCCTGATTACAGGGATTTTATCATCAGGGGCGATAATAAGAGTTTCAGTCTTGTTTGCATTTAACTGCAGGTAGTTGTTGTTCAGCCATAATTTGACTTCTGACAGACAGTTACTGAGTTCAGATAGTTTGAAGATTAAGATTAAGATTAAGATTTGTCTCACAAAACCAGCAGCACTCATTTACAGCCATCTCATTTGGCTTGGTACTTCTGGTTGTTTACAGCGCACGCAATTTCTGGTTAGCTTCTCAGCTTAGCATCCTTCACGGTCGAGCTGGCGTACTACATACGTTACAGCCAAACATTAGCAATTGGGTAAATCAGATCCACTCATTTTAAACTTCAACTAAGTCCACACCTCCAGCAAGAAAATGTTTCTCAACAGTCGAGGTTCCAGATCTTCTGTACGAAGCAAAGCGTGGGACAAGGGGCTGGTTTTTACCAACCTATGGATGACTGAGAATCCACAGAAACATAGTATATTAACGTTGGTGTCGAACCGTATCGATACTAAAGTAGATCAGTATCTTAGTTTTACTTCTGCACATGTGGGTCACATCAACGGCATTAACCATTCACCCTGAAGTCTAATAAAAAGGGTATCATTCTGGGTATTGGGGCATTTTGAACAAGTACAAGTACTTCTAAAAATGCTGGTATAGGATCTGATAACAGTATCAGTATCAGCACACCACTACTAAAAACGCTAAAAACAAATTAAACACGTAAAATGTGACCAAACAGCCACTTGATTTCCTGCTTACTCACTGCATTTCTGTTGCTGCTTAACACCAACACAGATCCAAACATAATATCCCCATTTTCCCGCAGTTATCCATTAATAATGTCGGATGTTGCAGCAAGGCCAGGAAGTCAATTAGAATGGATGTATTTCTGACTGCTGCTGTCATTTCTCTGTCTCATGTTCACTTGCAGTTGTAGGAATCAGATATCTGGGCTCATTGGGCTCAAACGGGAGGAATCTTCCCTCGGAAGCACTTTGTAAAAACAAACACAGGCATGATGTGAAACCAAGAGCTTCCGAAACCTCCGGGGAGGTCTACGGTGTCAGATCCACTTGATGGTCTCCTCCCAGCCATCTCTGTATCATTAACCACCTCACAAGAAGCTGAGGTCACTAGTTGTAACCTTTTACCCCACTGGGAGTAACAACAAATATGGAGGGTTATATTTGGAATCCAGTTGTAATATCTCATGTGACAACAAGCACAGCCTGCTCTTGTAAAAGCTCTTCAGTGGGAGTAAACACAAGTTTTGTTGGGGAAGAAAATGGTTATATTCATGCAAACGGTACATGCAAATCACTCTCTGCATCACACAAACTGAAACTGCATACTTTTTTCCCTTTTTTCACCCAAAGCAGACTTTTTCCTCTTGGTCAAAATGAGGATGGATGTGGTTTAGTGTAGAAAACTGTCAGGCCTTCTCTCTTCTCCTGTCTGGAGTATCTGTCAGTTCTGCTGCAGTTCAGTCTAATAAATCAGCTCCGCCGACTGCGTTTCCAGCCTGAAGGCTCTCTTGCCAAACAATACAACTTTAAAGATAAAGAAACAAAGAGAATTCCCAAGATACGCAACTTTTTTTATTTTATTTCTCTCATCTTTCTATCAGGACTTGTGTTGTGCTCAATTAGTGAATCTAACAGAGTGCTTTTCATTTAGCTCTCACAGTGGCAAAAGTGACCTTATTCGCAACGCTGTTCTCTCCGCAGGGGCACCAACAAATGAAGCCTTGTCTTTTTAAAGGAGAGCATAATGAAGCTTTGAGGAGGCATGATTCAAGTCGGATAACCCACCAGGATTTCAATTTACCCCTGTCAAAAAATTTGAAAGGCACAAATAAAAATTGCCGCAAGGGCGGACGCTTTATATTCCCTCCAGAATGTATTGATTCACTGGGTGCAGAATGATGCCTATTCATGTCTGTCTTTTGTTTCTCATCCTTCTGTCTCAGGTGCAAGTGCAACCTGCATGCCAACAGCTGTGTGTTTGACAAGGGAAAGCTGGGCTGTGAGTGTGAGCACAACACCACAGGGCCAGACTGCAGCCGATGTAAGAGGCACTACCACGGAAGAGCCTGGAGTGTGGGCTCCTACCTCCCCATACCCAAAGGAACTGCTAATATATGTAGGTATAGCAATGCCTCAAATGTTCTGTAGACAAACACTAAACATACAATCACTTTACAAGTGATGCAGCCGAGTAAAAACATCTATTTCCGATCTTCAAACTGCTGACACTGATCGCTGACAAAGGCTGCAGCCATGAACCGTCTATTTTTGCTTTTTATCCTTGAGAGGTTTCTTCGCCTCCTCTTTACTTTAACTCCTAACCTGTGGACAGCATCTCACCCAGACCTGACTCTCAGGACAATTTATGGCTCTGTTTGTTAGACGTAATGAAGTATCGACTGTACAACCCAAGACACTTTATGTCAGATTAATTCATGCACTTGTTTTAGCTCAGATCAGTTCCCTCAGCATCGGACTCAAAACAATTGGCATTAATGATGTGGAGGTAGACATTTGACAGAAAATACATCTTCCAAAATTTATTATATTTCCTATATAGTGAACTGTTCTTTTTGTTCCAGTATAAAATTTATGCAACTGCATTCTTAGCTAGAGGATAACACAGAATTCGGTGTCTGCTATCTCAACTCTATTACAAGTGTGAACAAGGTATCTCTGAGGCAGAGGGTGCTCTTTTGCATCATCCCCATTATAATCTTGGACAGGAGTTGAGTCACATTTATCAAATCCCATGCCTGGAGCCGGAAGGCTCATTGCTTCAATAAATCTCACACAAGCCACTCAGGGTTGTAGCAGGAGATGGCCAGGCAAGGCCAGATGGTGGAAGATCTAGCCCTCTGCTCCCTGATTTGGACTTGTGCTGTCTGACAGCAGCCTTTTAGGGGTGACAGCACATTTTCCAGCCGCTCGCTCTTGATTTTCAGACCATGCAGCAATAAATTATTATTGATTCCCTGGATTGCTTAATATTTGCTATAACACCCATTTTCTCCTTCATTTATGGTTGACAATTTGGGGGGATTATCTCCACATTTGCATGAATGTGTGTTGTTCCGAGGCTTCGCGCTTGTGTGGCGAGTTTTTGTGTGTGCCTATGCATGTGTAGGCAATGCGTTTGATTGTGTGTGGGAGTCTGTTTACGAGAACGTCTGTGAACTCTAAGGAGATATTGCTGGATTTACCCCTGCACCTCCTCTGCGTTATGAGCCTCCCTGCAATGTGTGGTGCTCACTGTCAGATTGACAGGCCATTATTAAAAAAAACTCAACACTCGGACGCATCTGCCCTGAACTGATAAAACCAAGGTCTCGCCATATCAAAAGCAATATTAGTGCTTGTTTGGCAGTGGCATAAAAAGCAATAATAATGTACATGGAAGTGATGCAACCATATTGGTCCCCCAGGTGTTGAATGAGCGCACTTTTGTCTTGAATTATTCCTATTTCTCTCATGAGTAAAGCTCCAGCCCAATAACATGACTTTATCCATTACACAAAGCTCTTGTATTCTATAAAGACATTAAAAATACAGCCTTCACATTAAGAAAAACATGTTGAACATGCAAGATGTAATTATAGTTTAATAGCTTTCATCTGTCATCAAGTCTTCCTCTTTTATCTTGGAAGTCGTTTATCTCTGGCAGGAACTGGGCAGGGTCTATTACATATTCATATCCCTGCAAATGGAGATATGTGAACACGTGTGACCTTTCATTAAATAAATTAGAGTCAAAATAGAGTCGTCTTGCTCAGAAGCCAGGGGTATCAGCGTCAGGAACCGACTGAAAGAATATTTGAGGTTTTGTTTAAGAAAGAAACAAAGAGAAAGGGAAGAAAAAGACATATCTTACGATTGCTTCTGGAAAAGAAGAATCACCTCAAGAGTTATGTTGACAGTCCACTTTGCCAGCAGCTTCGACTCATCTTGCGTTCTGAAGCAGGTTCGGAGGTTAAGAGGGGTTGGAGCTCTGAGTTTGAGCAGACTGAAGAATGTGTTTTGCCTCGAAAGGGCAACAATTTTGCCCTCCATTCCTCACACAGAACAAGTATTGGTGAAGCTTAATGACTTGCAAATCGGAGCCTAAAATCTTTTTTTTTCTTGGCTTCTGCAGTGTTTTGATCCTGCCAACAGCTGTTGACAGCCCCAAAAGCATAATGAAACGATGGATGAGATGCAAACAATATGGAACCCCGAACATAATCACCAAAGACAAAGAAGATAAAGCTTTTGAAAGAGATTAAAAATTGCACTAATTGTTTGGTGTGAATCACTTGCTTGTAGCGACAATGCAAAAAATGGTGGATCCATCCAACGTGTTTCAGAAGCTGCAGGGTTTCCAAAGTCAGCTCCAGTTCACAGGAAAACAACGCTTCTTTCAAACTCGAATAAAAACGCTGATAAAAAACAGACAGGTAGTTCATGCTGAAACTTTGAATTCTTCTGACATTTTTGACATTTTGTCTGTGGCGGACCTGTTATTATCATCAGTTATGGGCGGAGTTTGGACCGTGCTGTGACCGAGCTCTCCGCAGAGCCATAACTGCTGCTAATCAGCAGTCACAGTGGAGGCCAGCTGCATACGTGTTGTGTCATCTGACTTTTAAAACACTGTCTAAATGTTTTTTCTTAAGTTTCAAGTGTAAACAGAAATAAGCTGGCGTTTGAATGAAATTCTGTTTTTTTTCCTTTGCTCATCTTGCAGGCATTCCCAGTAATCACGGACCAGTGCGTAAGTTGATCAAGTGTTTTCTGTTGGCATGTTGACTAACAGAGTTCCCCCCTCAGTCATCACTAACTCTTCTTTGACGGATGATGTGGGTGTGAGAAATTGTGCCGTTTGTGTACTAGTGCATGTTTCCCAATGTAAAAATAATCAGTTTTATTAAGATATTTTGGTAGCACTTTTTTACTAATTGCACCTTATTTAGCCTTATTTATTCATTAATAAATGATTAGTTAACCTTGAAAACATTATTAATTAAGGATGATTTAAACTTAATAAGCTAAAAATTAACATGTCTATTAATGTTTTACTCATAAAGGCTATAACCCACACGGTAATTATTTATTCATGCTTAATAATGATCCTGCAGTTGCTAGTAGTTAAATCTTTTTGTGAACTCTTCTAAAGTGAAAACTATTTACGTTTGTTTTGTTTTTTTGTTTGTTTGTTTGTTTGTTTGTTTGTTTTTTTGTAGTTTTTTTACGTATTTGTCAACATAGACAAAACCCTGAAGGGCCACAAGTTCATAAAATCATAGTCAGTTCAAATATTCCCTAACAATTTATACACATAACACATGGTGTGAATGTATATTTATATGAGCATTTATATGCATATACAAACATGATATAAAATAGTTATTTCTTGAATTATTAAGCATGAATAAACAATGAGTATGTTGGGTTTGGATGTTTTTAGCCTTTATGGGTAAATCATTATTATACGTGTTGATTTACAGCCTATTCAGTATGAGTCATCTTTAGTTAATGATGTTTTCAGTGTTAATTAACCATTTATTAATATTAGTATAATGTTTATCCATGCAAATTGTTGTTCAACTAGGATTTGATATTTTTCTATTTGTAGATTATTATTGTTTGTATTTTGGGGGGAAAGGGCCTGGTGATATAAAATTTCTTTCATTTTATTTGTGATTTGTATTTTTTATTGTACAAAGAATTTGTTATTTTTTAAAGAAATTAATAAAGTTTATAAACTAAACTTTAATAAATAAATTAATGATTAGGTAATGCTAAATAAGGTGTGGTTAATATAGTGTTACAGATATTTTTTGTTGAAGTGCACCTTGCTTTTCTGTCTTTATTGAAAGATGTAATGAAAATCTATAAAGGGCCTTCATAGCAGCATTTCAGAAAGGTCTTAAATAAAAAGGATCTTGCTTTAAACAACATTTTTTTTCATATCATACCCTGCAAACCATAGATAGGTTTAGTTTATTTTTAGTATTTTTCAAAAAAATATTACATTTCCCACAAATAAAGCTGCATGCCACTTTTGTCCTAAAAATATGTTATTTGAAATGAGTTGAGTATCACTGTCTTCAAGGTAGAATTAATTTAATTACAACAGATCTTCAAACAGTGCTGAATGAAACCAAAGACAGTTTTGAACAGGCTTATTGGATTTCTTTGTCGCACACAAATGTGTAAAAGAAATTTCATTTTAAAGTGAGTCATTGCCATCCCCTAAAGTTAATAAAGTTATTCAAACTCTACAGCACAGACTGTAAAATGATCCCTAATACCGACAAAAAAAAAAGGTTTTAAAAGCTGAAATGTGGAAGAACACTGGCATCAATGCACCACTCGTCCAGGGTCCCAGCGTGCTTGGCCCTTACATTAGCACAACAGAGAGGGAGTTCTTTTTTACACACTTGGATATTTGCTTTAAGCACGCACGCACGCACACACACACACACACACACAGATTCATGCCCAAAGCAAACAAAAAGAAAAGCCATTCTTTATAAAGATGCGATTCCAGCCTTGCATCCCTACGCATGTTGATGCCTGAAGGTGACTCCACACACGGAATAACAACAGCAGATACCATGCAAATGCCTCCCTTTGCCTTTGTCTTGTGGAAAATTCATTTAGGTTGCATGATCACTATTCTGTCTGAACATTTCCCCATTTACTCCCCCGACTGTATGGCAGAAACGATTTAACAATTCTGATCTAAACTAGACAGGATACATATAAGATATTATTGTCAAAAAAATTAAAAAAAAAACAGTGCATGCTGTTCTCAGCTTTAGCAACGTAACAAAATGACTTCTGTGAGCACTCGTGTAATTTATAACCTTTCCATTTTTACACAGATCGAGCAAATGCTTCATCACTCGGTGTTGCAAATCGTAACCAAGGTAGGCTTTTAGGTTTTGTAACTTCAGCATGACATTACCGACACACTGGAAGAGTTGATTGGCGGCTTTAGAGGAAAAGGCCTATGTGTCATATGGAAATTGGAGAAATCAGTAGGCTGTATTGGCAAAGCTCACTTTCATCCTGCCAACACACAAACAACACGCTGGTCCTTACAAGGCAGACCTTTTGTTGTGAGAACACTGCGGGGAACGGACCACATGCCTCCTGATCATCGAGTCCACAGCCTCCTAACCTCTTTGATCGTGCCCTCTTTTTAATTACCCAGAATGCTCTCTGGGGGCGCACCCTTTCTGCCTTTTTCATAAGGTAGGAGGGAGGGGGGAAAAAAAGGGAATAGCAAAGAGGAGGAAAGGAAAGAAGGGGCTCCAGGGGGGTTTATGTAGATTGATCTGCAGCTATCTCCAGCTAATCCTCAGGCCCAAATATCCTGTGTAGTGAGTGTTAAGTCGCGTCTGCACCACTGCTCTCACAGCCAGGAGAGAAAAAAAATTAAAGGACGACTTTAGGGATTTACACACTCAAGGGAGGGGTTGTTATCTCACTTTTTGGATCTTGTAAACCTGGGCATCTATTGAAAATAAACCAAAATGTTATTCAGACTGATTAGAAATAAGGCCATAATTGATATGCAATAAATAAGTATTTCTTTCATTCTGCTATTCATCTCCATAATTTTTGTATAGAGTCAGAAAAAAATATCTAAAATGAATTATCAAATAACTGTTTAGATGTCAGAAGAAAATACATTAGTGTTGAGCTAATTGTTTGTGCTAAATTCCTAAATGATTTATCATTATATCTGCATAAATTACTTGGTACAGAGGAGAAAAAAACAGCCCTAAAACCATCTTTAAAACCATCACCAAAGGAGACATATTTACATTTCAAATCAAAAAAGATCAGATGATTTTCACGTTTGTGGAACCAGGATTTATCAGAGTCAGTTTTGTGAATTATTATGAGTCAGATTTATTAAACGAAGCAAAATTGCATGTAGTTATAAAATATAAACAGCTCCAGTGGCAGGTTTTACAGATGAGCTTTCAAAGTTGCACTGATCTGCAGACCAGCGTTCAGAATCGGGGCAAACAAGCAGGCATGTTGCTAATCCTAATTCCACAATTAATCAATAACACAAACCCAGTTTGATGTGTGCAGCTACAGCACAGGTCACACAGGCATGAACGCTTTCCACTGTCCACGTCTACTCGGACAAAAACAACTTTTAATTGAAACAAACTTGGATGAAAATTCAAAATAAATTTGTTTCTTAACTGATTAAATATATCAGTGTCTGATTTTAATCAAGTCTTTGTCTCAGTGTAGGCACTAATGAATATTTGAATCATTATGTGCATTTACACACAACCAGAATGGTCAATAATTAAGATATTTTCTGAACTGTATAAGCGTGGAATAAAAGATTTGAACTTGTTTTGTCACCCATTGTCATGAAACATTGTCTGTGTTTGTTTTTCTGTGTGTTAGCAAAATGTGCCATGAAATGCTGCATATTTTCCAATAAATAAATAAATATCAGGGATGGGCAACTCAAATGGTGGAAGGGGCCATGGACAAAATTTGGGCCGCGGGCCACCAGTTGCCCTTCCCTGATATTTCTTGTTGGATCAAAATTTGCCCTGGTAGTAGCCAAGAGTCATTTCCATCAGAAACTTTGGGTGCTAACAGATTGCCCAAGATCCTTGTTTGTAACTTTGGCATTTAAGATGGCAATCTACAATCCTTGACAAAATGCTATGTTCATTGCAATCATTTTAACGTGTTTGGCTTCATGTTACAGTGACTGATTAAAGAACTTCTTTGTTTTAAAGTTGTTTTAATTAAAAAAAATCAAAGAACAAAACATTTTGCATATTTTTTCGCTTACTAAGTACAGAAATGCAATGAGTGGCACTTGAAAGAAAATGTGACCAGTCACTTCGGTGCGGGTCGAGAACCAGGAAACAAATACAGAATTAGACTTTAATTTTAAATGCAAGAAATAAAGCCATACAGTCGTGGTTTTTGGCCCTGGATTTAGGAAGTTATCTGGTGGATCTGGCTCCACCTTAAAACAGGGCGTCACATTTGTTGGGCAGGCCTCCCTATCACGACGGCTCAGCACGACGGCTCAGTGGTTAGCACCGACGCCCCACAGCAAGAAGGTCCTGGGTTCGATCCCCGGTTCGGACCTGGGGTCTTGCTGTGCGGAGTTTGCATGTTCTCCTCGTGCTTGCGTGGGTTTTCTCCGGGTACTCCGGTTTCCCCCACCCCTAAAAACATGTACAATAGGTTGCCTCCAGGCCCAGGCCGCCCTTGAAAAAGAGATCTGAGATCTCAATGGGACTTGCCTGGTTAAATAACGATAAATAATAAATAATAAAAATCAGGTGACCAAATCTTTAAACAACAAACTGACTTCTAATGAGAAAATAGTTGCAAGTGTTCAGGCATGTAGTGGTAATCATATCATTTAAAGCTAGGGTTATAATTGAAGCAACGCACAGGGCGCGAGGGGACTTGCATCAAAAGTGACTCAATCGCGGCGGCCCTGCCCCTGCGTGTTGGCCCCGCATGGTGCACTGACGCGTGCTCGTGCACCTCCAAGATTCCGTAGCTCCGCAAAAGCCGCGTGCTGCACTTCTTTTCAAGATAGACATTTTCGAAGGTGCTCAGGTACGCATGTACGTCGATTATCCCTCCATGAGAGATCATAAAGATAGCCATATGGCACAGAACACCTGGAAAGAAATTGCTTTTTATTTTGTTTTGCTTTGTTTTAGAATCTACAAATAAAAAGCTACCTTTTAAGTTGACTCTTTTCAGTTATTTCAACAGTTTTTTGTAATTTCTACATCATAACTTTTGTTGCAGAGTTACTACTGCAAACCTAATTCACATCAAAACTTCAGAACATTGTAAGCACGCCCCATGACCCTAATCCAATCACTGGGCTGCAAACAACAAGCTGTAGAACAAATAAAAAAAAAAAACTTTTGTTAAACACTAGAGAAAATAGAAACAAAAACCACACTTGTTAATGGGTAAACTACTGTCGGTGAGGGAAGAACAGCGCTTCTGAACGTTAAGTATGATTTCACACAGCATGCGGCTCAGGAGTGCGCACACTCCGCGGAGCGTGCGCGACAACCCAATGTACAACTATAACCAAGCCTTAAAGCACATTCTGTTTGAGGTGACCGTGACATCAGCCACTCGAAGCAGATTGCACAAAAACTGAATCACAATTTAATCGTAAAAATAGATAATTAAGCAAAACAGGTTATCAAAACCAATCCTAGTTTCCCTGGGAAAAAACAGTATGTGCAGTGCATTAGAATCATGAATAAACAGGATAAATTTCCTTCACTGTTTTATACTTAAGCTAGCATAAACTAGATTTTGTTTTGAACTAGCAAACATTTAACAGTCAAGTAAAAAAAGACATATCTCTACTGCTGTTCCATGCTGTATTATGACTCCAGTGCAAATTGAACCTCGGAGCTTTGAGTCATTGACTAATGATGAAGCCTGCATGTTAATATGATAAGAGGCGGCTGTACGCAGGTTTCATCTTACACTGACATCATGGCGCAAGATATGGATCCTGTGTAATTGAACTATTCTTGCTCCAAGCATATAATTAGCAGATCCTGTGTCTCAGAAATTTCTCCAGTTATGATTAATTGCACAGGCAAACATATACCTCCGAAGACTTTTTCTTTAGAAATATTAAGTGCATTACTGTGAATGAGATTTAATTTCAGCTTTTATGTGCAATTAAGTGAAGCTGCTGCCATCTCTTTAAACTCAATTCCCCCTTTCAGGCACGGCAGCTAAAACTCCATTCATGTATTGTTTGTTGATATGAAACGATGTATTTAGCCGGGTTTGTTAGATGTAATCAATTTTATTTTCTTAACATCACACAGAATCAAAACACAAAAGCCAGAATCCAGGATATTGATTTGTGATTTTTACTTTGTCATCATGTTGTGGTGTTCTGTGGCTTCAGTTGCAGAATTTTTGAGGACATCATGAGTTCAATTAGATGAGAGGACATTTACAGACTCCCAACCCCTATAAAAACACAGTAGATTTAGGAACATGTATAAAAATGTAATTTTACAACACATTGGACCTTGTGTGCTAACTCTAACTGGCACAATAAACTTATCTGGTGTGTAACTGAGTAATGCAGAGAGTAAGATAAAATGACATTTAAAACCCATATCCTCCAGTTGCATCAGCTGTTTGTCCTTCCTGTCACTGCTGTGCTGGTGCTGTGAAGATTTTTCACCCTGTTGCTTCATGTAGCAGCGGAGCCTGAGGATGGATGTGTCACAACAGTTCTACTGTTAAAAACTCACACAACTGACAGAGGTGTGCGGCACACACACGTGCTGCCAGCACAAGTTCAAGAGTGAATGATGTCACAAAAAGCAATTTTTTTCGAACTAAAGTGTATAAATGAAGGCACGTGGAAAAAAAGGCAGTTGTATTTTATCACGTGTTGTGTCACTCTCTGATTTTACACATGATGTGTGGAATTGAGCGTCTGCTGTTACATCATGTTCTCTGTGACTTTTAATTTAACCATCTATTGAAAGAACCGTGGAACTTCTTCATCAGAGGGTTTGACTTTGGGTGGAAATTTTAAGCCGAAACCTTGTTTTTTTCCAAAACAAGTTTGGCAGGATCCACCCTGATAGGAAATATTGAAATTACTGCTTCTGACTTTTTTATTATTATTATAATTTGTTTTTTGTATTTGATTTTTCCATTCAAATTTCTAAACTTTCTGCTTTTTTGGTTGTTTTTATTGTTTGTTTTATACCTGGAGGCCTTATCAATAATAGCCATATGTTGTGATAGTAATGTCTTTAAAATGATGTAAACCTGAAAAAAAAGATACAATAAATGTTACTGGTATGTCTATTTGATCTTTATGATACCCAAAAAAATTTAAATAACTTTAATGCCTTATAAGGTATATTTTTGTAATTGGGATTTTCTTCTCATTCTTTATTTTACCTAAAAAACCCAAAACACAATGTAAAAAATGAATTTTAGCAAAAACAAACTAATTGAGGCTGCAGATGCTTTTAAAAGGATCATAGTCCTGAGGGTTTGCTGAAGGACAAACAGCATCTTTTAGCCACAGGCAACAATGTTAATGTGTTGACCAGACAACTCACACTAAGTTGATCCAATCTTTTCTTTTTTTCTAAAACACAAAAAAAGTTTGTTTTTTTTTGCATTTGCTGTAAATAATGATAATATTAATAAAAGAACCAAAAGTGTTTTGACGTCGCTCACACAGTGGTGTTCAGCCAGAGGCCGATTAATGTTTGAATCCTCTCAGGGTGGATTTAAAGCACGATGTAACACAGACACCATTTTCATGCAGCCATTTTTTTTACTAATAAAAAACAAGCAGCAGTCAGATCAGGCCTGGGTCAAAGCAATTTGGGTGTTTAATCTTGAATGCTAGTAACACAAAATACCATCCTATAATAATCTCAGAAACCGTTTGACAACGACCTTTAATCTTCATCTCCCCATGAAACTAACTTTAAGCAAATATTGCGGCTAAAATAAAGAACCCTACAGCTGTTAATGATTGTGAGGAGGTGCCACACTCCAGTCTGTGATCTCTGGGGTCATAAATTCTTCTGTCTGCTTTAGTCTTTTAGTCAAGAACAACGAAACCAAATCCAACACGTTTGAAGACAGCGACAAGTCCCAGACTTTAGGGGCTCAGGAGCAAGACAAGAGCATGATTAGCACATACTGAGTCTAAGATCAAGAATTTTATGAGTTGAAACCAACCTAAGACCTTTTAAAACCTAAATGTTTTCAGAAAAGCTTAGAAAGATTGTCCAGACTGACAATATTCTCTGTTCAATTTTTGGCTCCTTCAGGAATTTTGAAGTGTGATGGATGGGGCCGAGAACCAAGTTACAAACTGGACTCTGTTGAAGTGGAGAGTTTCAACAATCAGACAATGAACAGGCGGTTTAATGACAACCCTACTATCATGGTTTCATCTAGTCCTGAAGAAAAAAAAACTGGAGTGCAATTTTGGTTGATTTTGAGACAAGACAGCAACACACGGTCGAGCTGCTGAGAAGGAAGAAGACTTTAAAACTACAACTATATGAAGAGTTGTTTCATGAGAAGTCAAATTTGGAAAGAACCGTGAAACAAACAGCTTGTTGCTAAAATCTTTTTGCAAAATCTAAATAATATCATCAAATATAAACAGATATTCTGTTGCTCTAACAAACAGACAATAATTTTAACACAATAAAATAAAATCATGATTTTAATCTGATTAATAATAATTAGTTCCTGTAATAATTCAGACATCGAACCTCACTGACACTCCTTTACATAAACATATGATCAGTGTTTGAATCATTGCTGGTGCATTTATTTTATTCCTGATTTAAATCCTGTAATATGTTTAGAAACAATTCCCACATTTGGTAGAAAATGTTTTAATTTGTCTAAAATCTCAGTGTCAGGTTTCGGTGTGGGTTTCTGGTTGAAAGATGTTTTGCCAGACTCGTTACTTTTGCACCAGTGTTAGAAGAATCTGTCACTCAGCAGCATGATGCATTTTAAGTAAGGCGTTTGACTGACTGGAAGTGCTGCAATATCCTCCCTTATGGCTGCATCCTTATTAATATTTCAATGCGCACAAAAAAATAAGAAAATGCATCTATCACACGCATAAACAACAAAAGGTGGAATTTTCCGTCTAAGCGTATAACAGCAACGGTGACTAAGTGAAACAGGAGGAAATATATTAAGGTGGATGCAATGCCAACACCTTCTTAATCAGTTTTGGCGTGAGAAATTATTATTTGTTCAGTTTATTCAGATGCATGGGCCACATTACTGAAAACCAAAAATGTGATTACTATTTATGCAGGCAGAGAGATCCAATTTCACTGAAATCTCTGCACAAATATTACCTCTTCCTGGATTTCACCTCTGCTGGTAGAAAGGCTTCCTGGGATAATTGAGTCGTGAGTTTTTATCTGAAAATGTGAATTTGATCTTATGTAATCCTAATCACAATACGTTCTAATAAAGGAGTATTTGATGGCCACTAAAGCAATACCCTCCTGGATATTACATACTTTGTTTTCCCTCTTACACTGCATTGATTGACCACTAATAATAAAAATATAAGCAAGTTACCTGACAGTTTTGTTTTTGTCCATCAGAAGTTGTTGTGGCTTAATGACTCTGGGTTTATTGGTTCAGTCCTTTTTATTCTGTTCTCAGCATAAAAATGTTTTTTAACATTTACATTTTTGATTTATTGATCATTAATTTCACCTCATCAGTCATGCTTCTTTTTTGTTTTGTTTTGTGTTCTTTTGTCAAGATTATCCTCATTCTTTGAAAAAAAATATATATATATAAAACTCATTGCTCAATACAATGCTCTAGGTTCAATATGCACTTGCATCAACCAATACAGATTTTCACAGAAGTTTATTTTATCAGCTTATCTTCTGAAAATGTGCTGAATTAAAGGTTCGGAGGATCTACATTACCTAGGCTGCATTGTCAAGTGCAGATCCACTGAGAAACTTGCTGTTTCAGCGACATTTAATTTAAAAACTATACTTTTGAGGTGAAACAAATGTTCATAATTAATTTCATTAAATTACAAGTTAAGTAGGGCATTGAATTTTCTTCCTTTTTTTTTTGTATTGAAAAATATAGAAGCACGAGACTAAAGGAACTGAACCAAATTGTGAATTTTCTGTATTGTTGCACCCCTAATAGGGCCACGTCTGGCTCATAGGTGACATCCCTCCTGGCCGCTAATTAACACACTATATACAGGAAAAAAAATTAAGAGACCACTTTAAAATGATCAGTTTCTATGATTTTACTCTTCACAGGTATATGTCTGAGCAAAACGAACTATTTTATTCTACGAACTGCTGACGTCTCCGAAATTCCAAGCAAAAATTTAGTATTTATTTGCAGTAATTGAGAAATGGTCAAAATAATCACAAAGATGAAGTGCTTTCAGACTTCAAATAATGCACATAAAACAAGTTCCTATTCTTTTAGAAACAGCAATACTAATGTTTTAACTTAGAAAGAGTTCAGAAATCAATATTTGGTGGAATGCTTTCCACCAACTACAGGGAAATTATGGAGTGGGCTCTTCATTTTTTTCCAGAGCTATGCATATACACTATATAATATATATATTTGCATTTACTACATGTTCTGGAATTTCCCCGAGTTGCCCCTAAAACAAGCTGCACAAAGCTAAATGTGAGAATTTTACCAGAACCACAACCACACAAGTATATGCACTCTAGGTGTCTTTAGCAGATACACTTCAGCTCACTAAAATAAGTGTTTTTTTTTTGTTTGCTTGACTTGTTTTGTATTTATATTTGTCAAACAAGAGTACAACTGTTACACATGCATTTGAGCATGTTACAGTAAGTGTATGCTGGTTTAGTTAACATATGCTGTACATATACACAAACATTTTTAAAATGGAAGTTGAATTACATTTGAACAAATGTGCAGCCATGTGTTCCACAAAAAGTGCCCCCTTCCATCATTTCAGTTGTCTGTCCTTGATATACAGTAGATATATAAAATTCTTTTATCACAAACAATCATTCCAGTTAAGTGTTTTCACATATTAAGTGAACAGTGTTTTGCACTTTCTTGTGTGCCCTGGTTATCCACCTCCCCTCCCTGTTTCAAAACTGTTTGGTGTCCTTGGTTTCACCCTTTCTGACGTGTCTGCTGTGCTGTAGGGCTACAGAACGATGCAGACAGGACAGCATGGAGGCAGCTTGTGCCCCGTGAACCTGCCTGTTGATGTTCTCTGCCGCCCCTATCACCGAGTCATCTATTAATCACGCCTTCCTGTCTCCACTGCCCTTTCTGCTTTGTGTCTGCAGCTCGGGTGTGCGACAACGCGATGCTGCGCTGTCAGAACGGCGGCACGTGCCACCACCACGAGCGGTGCCACTGTGCCCCCGGCTTCACGGGCGTCCTGTGCGAGAGAGTTCGCTGCCAGGGTCCCGGCGAGTGTGACGACCAGCTGTCTGGACGGGCAGTCCTCCATCATCGCCCCACAGGCCGCCAGCTTTTGCTCTCCCTCGTAGCGACCCTGCTTTCAATTGTTTCCCTTTGCTGAGAGACACAGAACCAAATCCTGAAGGAAAATCCTAAAAACCACAAACGCTGAGACTGAACTTTCAACCTTACAGAGATAAAGGGAAAAAACAAACAAAGAATGTGTTGCGCTCAGCGTACAATATAAGCGACTCTTTTGTATATCCGAGGCCAATGTGGTGCATGGGCGACAATGAAATTACCGCAGTGGATTGTGCACTGATGTGTCATTCTGAATGGTAGAAAGATTTATAAAAAACTCGGTGAAGACACTGTTGTTTTGTAACTTCACAGAAAAAAGAAACAAAAAAAAACTGCAGGCGCCCTTGCTTTGTGATAATGTCATTGTCTAATATTTCATCAAAAAGAGTCTGGAGGTTCTACTCGGATTAGAACAAACCACAATCTGATGACAAACAGTGAATAACTAGACACATGATTTCTAAGAATCATCTGAAGTTAGTGTAGAATAATAATGACCAGAGGGACATCTTCAAAAAAAAAATCTCTCCTCACTGCCTCCTCCTTTCTGCTCCTCCTCTTCCTTCCCGTACTCTCCCTTCCTTTCCTCTCCTCTCCCTACGCTTTAGTGAACCTGGTGACTTTACTTTGCTGAAGGGTGTCCGTTGTTTTGCCAAAATGCTGCACATGTATTACTATAAATTCCCTTTGACAAGAGCCAGTCTAGTATAACTTTTATTTTACAGAGGCTTTGTAGTCTTGCTTGAGCTCACCCATATCAGAAAAAAAGTTGTAACATACTATATCTGTATTTAATTTTTGTATAAAACAGATATTTTCATGACTACGCTGAAGAAGAAGAAAAAAAAGATGTATTACTTGTTTTTTTTATTGCCGTGTCCTTCAGTAGATGTGGACTAAGCGTGAGGACGTTGGTTGTGTTGTTTGTCCTCATTCCAGAGCTGCTTTCAGAACTATGTTTACCTTACACACTTACACAATACACTTCCACCAAAGCTCAAAGGTACAAACATGTCTTTGTCTTGTTGTTGAGCGATAATTTTATTAGGCAGAAACATGACATTTGAGACGAGGTGTGAAGAATAAAACTGTGTATTGTTCGTGGACAGCTGCAGACAAACGACACGAGTTGAATGTCATTTTTAAAAGGATTTTTAAAAGCTATCAGTTTCGTTCCTGGGCCATTTCACGAAGCACCGGCTGCTGATAATGATATATCAGCCTGTGCTGTAACACATTCCTGTTGTGCTCTTGAAATGAAGGAGAATTGAAGGAATCTCAGGCCGAAATCTCATCAACATTATGTAAATTTAAAGAAAAGAAGATTGCACGGCTGTCGCAGAGGTTGTCCATCTCCAATCTGTAATCAGATCTAATCCTTGAATCGAATGGTAAGAGGGGAAGGTTTTCGGGAGCTGCTTCGGCTGAAAGCCTGCATCCTGCTGCGGGAGCAACCAGAAAGCTGCGCGCTCAGAAAACCAGCTTTAATTTACGGAGGGTCAATGAATAGAAATGAAGGTGCGTCCCACTGGGTGCCATATTGAGAAGCGAGACCAATTTCATTTGAGAGATTAATTTTGCTCCTGAGGTTGTCATAAAACACCTAATTGTGCTTGAGTTTTATGTAAGTGCCTCTCATTAAATGACACTGTCTATGATAGAACAGCTTTTGTGTTTAAGAAAGCCCGAAAACTACAATAAGGTGATTGTAAAAGGTTGATCCAAATTTCAAGCAAGGCATGGGTGTTTTTTCTTAAGAAATATGATGTTTCTGAAATAAATGATATAAGACTATCATACAAAGTAAATCTAACGAAGTAAACAATAAAAATAATGTGTAATTCTCAATTTTATTAGAAAATAAATTAGCAATATCAGCAACTGTGTGCGCTGATCTCCGATGATCTTTTAAATGCAACCGTAATACTTTTCTTTTGTTTCGTTTTGGCCAGCCTCAACCTATGCACAATTGTAGACACTATAAAAAATGTAAGAAGTTTTGGTAAATCTGAACCCAAACATGTTCAGAACAAGAAATCCAAAATATGGATCATTTTCTTTTCAGCTTTTGTTTGTCTTTTAATAAACAATCAGTTTCTTGACAAATAAGACAGATATGATATGATGATGGAAAGTTCTGATTGTCATTGGATCCTGAATAAAACAATATCGACTAAAAAGGATCATTAAAATAATCAGAGTAAATACTGTATATTGGAAAAGTCTATATTTTTGCCATTTTGACAGTAAGAAGAATAATTTAAGAATGGATTTAACCTGTTTTTCTTTCTTTTTTTTTGTAATATTTCACAAGCTATAAATAAGTACATCTAACAGTTTATTCTTCAATAATTAGGCAGAGGAGCAATTAGTAATTGGAGTTGAAAACAAAAGTAATCAGTTATTTCCACTGAAATAGTTAAATCCTTCAGTCACTATTTTTTGAATATATTTTTAAAGCTCTGCTCAGAAATAACTAATCTAACAATGTCAGAACAGCATTTTTTGCACAGATGCCACAATACAGTCCAAACCATGACACTGCCACCGCCGTGTTTCAGTGAAGAAGCCACGCCTTTCTCTTAAAATGCACCATTTTTTTCTAACAAAAAATGTTTTCATTCAAACTACACAATGCATATTAAATTGTTCAACCACCAAAGGGGAAAAAAAGCCTTATATAAATGTTTAGCACATTGAAATGATATTCATCACACTTCAAACAGACAGCAGCAGCTTTCTCCTTGAAACTCTGCTGCTGTGGACATCATAGCTCTTCAGAGTTGCAGCAGATCTGGAACGACACTTTCCCTATAGCTCATTTTATATGTGCTGTATTATAAAAAGTGATTTTGYAAAGAATTTTTTTTTTTTTTTTACATGTTTAAACACTAGAACAGTGGTTCCCAAACTTTTTATCTTCTGACCCACAAAATATCCATGGGAAAAACTTGTGACCCCAAATATTACTGGTCTGAGTTCATGAACTTTGTTAACCCTAAAAACACAGGCTTTTTGACCATCTAAACAGCTTGTTCACAAATATAAATACTTATTTTTACTTATTTTGTGTTTTTGTAATAATTATAGGGAAAATATTACATCAGCAATTATTTTATTACCCTTTAAATTGATTTCTGGAGATTATCCAAGATGCTTCATGACCCATATTGGGTCCCAAAACCAACTTTGGGAACCAAAGTGCACTGGTTCCCAAACTTTTCAGCTTTTGACCCACAAAATAACAGTAGCAGAGACCTGTGCCCCCAACTATTTTTGGATGATAAACATTTGTATCAGGTCAACAAAACATGGGTGTAGTAACAATGTTTTTATACTACATATATCCATTTTAAATACACTAACCTCACTCCTTTGTAACAACTAAGGAAAAAATGTAATTAATTCAGAAAATATTTTCAGGACCCCACCTTGATGTTTCGGGACCCCACTTTGGGTCCCGACCCCAACTTTGGGAAACACTGCACTAGAAGATCAATTATTTCTGAAGGGTTTGTCGTGGAACAGTCAGTACAAACAAACTAAAGTATAAAGATATTGAAGGTTTGTTTATTCTCAGGAAGTAACTTTCAGCAAACTAAACATGTCAAGCATGAGTCCTATAGTTAAACATGACTTTTCTTATTGAGATTATCACAATAGATTGTAAATGACTACATTTAGAAACTAAATCTTGGGAAATGTAGAATTTTTTTTGTTACTTAAACAAAAAAAAGGTTCATAAATCCTTAACCATTTTCTTTAAGAAGCTGCTTCAGCCTTGAAACATCATATATTATTGATTTATACTGAGCTTTTGGAAGTGCATGACTTTTTTTTCCCTAAATGTTGAATTCAAAGTCCACAAAAAAGACCAGCTTTTGTTTGCTTCTTTTATTCCCCACAGTTTTGTGTCACAGCAGTTGCTTGTCCTTCCTCCTTCCACATCTGAGAAGCAGGAGGGGGGTGTCAGGAGCGCTCTTTTTAACACAAGCAGTCCTTGTGTTCTGCCACCGTCAGCACCGGTGGCACCAAGAAAAAGTTACATAACCGAAGACACGGGGTATTCAGTGTCTGAGAAAGAGGTGGCTCAGCAACATGGCTGGAGCCCCCAGCCTATTAATAAATCAATATCAATATTCAGCTCCATGAGATGCCCAACAGCACAACACAAATTGGTTGTCCTATGAGACAGAAAGCTAACCTTTTCCACCATTCAGTACTGTAAATAGTACTACTGTAGAGCATTAGTAATGAGCGTCAGTGTATTAAATCTCTATACTTCTCTAATTTTCCAAGCCATTTGAATATTAATGATTCTCAAGCTAAAAATAGGGACGGAAGGCCTGGTTCATATTTCTTCCCCCGGCTGTTTTAAATCAAGAGATGTGAAGAAAACACGGCTTCTGTTTAAGTCATGAATTTCAAGGATGTTTATCTGCTTCTCAGGATTTGCGTTAGAGGCTGCAGGTCCTCGTACTTTTTCGCAACTCCGGCTCAGTGTCTGCGGCAGAAAACCTGTTCCTGACCCCATCGCTAAGAAAACTTCAACTCTTGGTTCAAGTGTTGCTGTAACAAAACAAAAAAAAAAAAGAAAAGAAAAAAGAAATGAAGACATACCGGGGTTCCATATGGAGAGCTGCACTTTTCCCCGTCTTTGAGCAGCAGTGCTATGCTCAAAGACTGAACACTGCCTGCTGCCTGGAAATGAAAGTTTGGTTATTTATTTATTTGCTTGTCAGTTTGTTTGTTCGGAAAGTTTCTTTGCAAACGCTAGGCTTCAGTTTGAAGAAAAGTTAGGTAGTCTTGCGAAATGTTGACTTGCCAAAAAAATTAAAACTATTATACAAAAGTTTTAAAGGATTTGCCAAACACTAAGAAATAGTGTTCTTCTGGTCAGTTTTTTTTTTCTGATAAGTTTAAATTAAAAAATAATTGGTAATAAGAGACTAATTGTTATCTTGGTCCAACTCATTATGACCAAATCAGTGTCTGATTTTATCCGTTCTAAAACACAATGGCCTTACTAGGAAGTTTAAAACCCAAGAGGTCATTTCAGTCGTAAACTGATGATAAAACAAACTTTGCTTGGAATCTTAAAATTATCACTAAGGTTTTGAGACAGTGGAGCTTTATCATCACATAAAAGTGTACATATGCTTTTAAATACCACTTTTTTCACATTTATATCCTTAATTTGAGGTCTATATAAAGTGGATTTACAATGCTTTGTTCTGAATTTCTCCTTATTGTAGCTCCACAAGCCCCTCTTTAACCCCCTTTTTGGAGATGTGTGTCTCAGATCAACTCGTTTTGGGGCTGTCTCTTTAAATCCAAATGAGGTGATTCGCACACTGCCCCCCTCCAGCTTCCAGACCCATTTATTCTAGCTAATAGAGGAATTTATGACTATATAGCTGCACAGAAACTTTATTTACAAGTTAATTAAAAGACATCAACAAGGGAAGACTTGTCCATCCAGACTCACCACCAAATTATAGGTGGTAAGTCCAGAGCTTATTTAGAAGTTCTGTTGCAAATTTTGAATAATTCAGAAAAAAGGAGAGAAAACTGAACAGGTTGAAAAATATGATCCAAACAGAATATAAAAAGAAACCAGGAGAAACTAAATTCAGCTTTTCTGCACTCCTAGAGACTCCAAGTACACAAAAAATGTATTTAATGGCTAAAAAATTATACTTTGCACATTTCAGCTGAAGCAAATTGATAAAATATGTCAACGCTAAAGCTTGTGTGCAAAGTTTCAGTCAAATTATGCACGAGGCTTGAACCAATGGTTGCAATAGATCTAGGACATAATAAGTTACATCAACATGGTAATAGATTTTAACTAAATATTTATATTTTCTTGCCACTGATTTTTGATGCAGCACAAACGGTATGTGCAAAACCTGCAACTTTACATATTTCAGTTTGATGTTTGACTGTCTGCCCTCTCAATCCTGATTGGTTTTTCAGTTCCAGCTTTAGAAATGGTTTCAGTACCATTCACATGACATCGCAAGAAGAAAGAAATGGCACTTGTGGAAAGGTTGAAGCAGCATGCCATATGTGGCTTTATCAAACGGCTATTCACATCTCTGACATTGCAAGGACAGCTGGTGGGTGGCTCACTGGCTTGGCACACAGAGTCTGAGTACACTAGGATCAATAGGCAGAACAAAGACAAAGTTAAGCTGCCTCTGCTGGAACATGATTGAAATGATTTCTTTTTCCCCCTCGATTATTCTGTTCTTGACACAGACATATCAGAGGAGCCACATTTTCCTCTCTGTTTTCATCCGTTACCCAATGAAGGGTTAGGACAAACTGCAGCTGGTAAAATCTGAAACTATGTGTTTCTTTTTATTTGAATAAACCAAAATAGCATTGCTGCAACACGGATTGTCATAATCAACACAAACATTGAATTATTAAAAAGACAATAGAAATGCTGGCAAAAAATAGAAGTTAAACAAAAGTTAATCCATTATTTTCTTGTTCACAAACTTTTCTGATGACCCCCTATTTCATCAAAATCTATCTGCAGATGTTTGCTGTACCACTATCCTGTCTCTTGTTTCCTCAGTGCCCAGTGCAGCTTTTCTGGCCCTTTGGTGCCACACTGAAATTGCAAATCATTGGCATCATATGCCTCCAACACCCTATTGGAAAAAAAAAAGATATAAAATTTATATATCACAGCGACACTGTCCATAAATAAAAGATGTCATTCACAGTCAGTTCCAGAAAATATGGATTTTACAGGGGGGGGACAAAACTTTATCCCCCTT